GGGGTGCGGGGGGATTAGGGGTTAGAGAGGATCTTATTCCACAGCAAAACCTTGGGTTACATACATGATGGATATACATGTAATCAGTCATTGAATTTCTGATTATAGTCTCGGCTTGCTACGGACGGAGAGACACAGGCCATACACAGGTAATTTTTAGTGTCCAACTGTTTCATCGTAATGTTATATGAATTACCTGATCTCCTTTTAAGAAAATGTGTCTATATTTTTTTTCGGAATTATATAACATTTTTCGGTAATTAGGTTTATAGCTCTGGGTATAAACCTTTTACAGTAGCACTTTGACAGTATTCTGTTTTCTATCCTGTAGTTCATCCTACTTAGAGCAGATGCAAGCATCAGCAGAGTTACCTCCCATGGAACTGAGAAATTTGCAGCATAGCTTCAATTCAATCTACATGTGTCCGGTAAGACTAAAATATCAATATTCGATCATTCCCTGCAGTTTTCCTGAATTATTCTTAAATCAAGCTGAAAAAACATGTAAAAAGTTTATGAATTTGTATTTGAAAATAACTGAATTAGGAAACAAATATGATCAGAATATTGATATCTCATTGTTATAGAGCTGTGAGCAGTAATGAATGATTTCGTTTATTCAACAAACTTATTTGTTATGACTTACAACTGGTCAAGGAACAACAAATTAACCATTGTAAAAGATGAATAAAAAACCTGTTAACATAACTATGCAAATTTTCTTGAAAGGAAACAACTTTTTGTGATCTCATTATTTACAATCCCTGTTTACCCCAACCCACCAAAAGTTGCATACCATAGAAAAGAAGATGAATATCTGGTTATTTATGCAGGTTGGAATTTTCTCTAGACATGTGCAGGAACTTAATTTCTAAGGTGCTTTAGCACAGAGATGGGACACTCGGCATATAAAGTGTCAGATAACCAAATGGCCATGGATAGGCTTTATTATTGCTGCTCGTTTTTATGCTTGTCATATTATTTAGTGTATTATATATTTGCAATCATGTAATTGACCCTCAAAATTGCGAGGATATCATCCCTATGGAAATATCCTACTAAATGGTACTTTCATTTTACTAATCGCTCTTCCCTGTGTCCAGGAGAGCAATGTGTGTGCCAGAATGGCGGCGGGGTGTGTCCTAAGTGTTACAGAAGCTGTACTGTCAGGCCAGGCCAAAAGTGGGGTCGCTGTCGTCAGGTAGGCACAGTTGTTAAAAAAAGTTCTAGTTATATTAAGATAAAAAATATAACACATCTTTAACTGGGGACAAAAAAAAGTCATTTCAAAGTTCATAAGCAATACTTTTTAAGAAGAATTTTAGACAGTTTAGGTGAAATTTGACACATTTTGGTTATCTTTCTAAGGCCTCCTGGTCACCATGCAGAATGTACCAAAGCAATGGGGTTCTGCTTCTTCAACAGCGTGGCCATTGCTGCCAAGTATGCTCAAAACAAATTTGGATTAAAACGGTAAGAATTGTTGATTTTGTTATTCTTCAACTTTTCCTAGATTTCAAATATGTACTGTGCACAAATTAGATTTCATAATATTCCTACATTTGTATTAGGGTTAAAATTTGGCAGAATGATAAACATTTTCAGCCTCATATAAATCTCTCTAACACCGAATAATATGTCACTACATTTAACAGCATTACTTCACATTTTAAGTGTACTGCACTTACCCTAGGGTACTGTAATATTTAGAGAGTAGCTAGGTTCACTACATTAAAAGCAATCATTTAGATGTATTGTTCATCTTGCATCAGCCATTAAAGCATTTTTGTCAGCAACGATTACTGTATAACGGGAAACTTTCGCTCAGTCAAACTTAAGCCGTGCACTGTTAAAATCTGTACCTGTCGAGGGTTAATTTTACCTTTCACAAACACATACTTTATATAACGTATATATGTTGTGTAATGATACTTGCTGTCATGATCAATTCGCCATATTTAAGGAAGGCGAAAGTTAAACTGCGGTGAATATTTCTCAGTATACAGTATGTAAATATTTAAGTCTGGTTGTGAAATTAACTTCAATTATTTAAATTTAAAACAGTTGTTAGTGATGATCTATGGAGTTTAAATTCTATGAAAGATTGTTGATAAGTTATATCACATAATGTTATTGTGGAAATTATGTTTATTTTCTCAAACTTTACAGGGTATTGATTCTCGACTGGGATGTTCACCATGGTAACGGAACACAACACAGCTTTTATGATGATCCAAGGTAACCAGTTGTGAATTTCACAGAATAATAAAATAATGATAATTGGAACATATACTTGTTGTACTTAATGTGTCACATGTAATATGAATATCGATAAAAAAGATAAATGTTCACAGATTGTGGTAATATACTGTAAATGTATATATTCTAGCAGTAGCCATATTTTAGCGGTTTTTGCGGTTTAATTATTACGCGAAATTATGAATGCGTTAATTGGAGTTCTTGTATATTGTTTTTCTATTGCATATTTCAATATTTAATCATCAATGCGCTTATCTATTTAAATTTTAAAATGTGCTAAAGTTAGAGTGCACTAAAATAAGTATGTTGACAGTATATTAACCAACATCATTTTGTCAAGTTACCTTATTCAGGAAAATAAATACAATTATTCAGAAGGAAACATATGCAATCTAGATTTTAGATTTGATGAAAAATTAATTCAGAAAATAAAATGTTATGATACAGTTAATAAAACTGTATAAAGCAGTATAAATCAACCTACACATAGACCTGTAAAACCTGTCGAATCTGACCCCTGAATATCTGGACAGCCTTTCATATCCATGATAATAATGATGTATTCCCATCTGTAACATATATACGTTACTACCAGATGATACCTGTGTTTTCTGACACCCTGTCTTGTACAAACAATTTGCTGGATCCCACAGGGTTTTGGATTAAAAAGGTTTTACTGTCAGTAAAAAAATGACATTTTAACTTCCCCTTTTCAAATTTTTCATGAAAAATTACTTTTCATCTTTATTTACCAATTAATTTTGTTTTGAAGATAGCAAAAACCAGTAAGATTTAAAAATTATATGAAAACAGAAGAAAACATGATCATACAAATGGCTAATTGGAATATATGTGTAATATTCTCTCAAAACATTTATTTGAAAAATTCATTTCAAGAACAGCCAACCAATAACTTAGCCTTAATCATTGTAGCCCTCTAGTGGTAGATACTCGTGTTATTTTGACCCCCGGGATTAACTGATGCATTATACCAGTCTGTTTATATTACAGCATCCTCTTCATTAGCTTGCACCGTTTTGACCATGGAAGTTTCTATCCGACCTCCACAGATGGAAATCACAACATGACAGGATCTGGGGCCGGAAAGGGATTTAATGTCAACATTCCTTTCAATGAGGTAATAGTTATGTACCATGCTTGCTTTCAGTGGCGCTTGAATTTAAAAACTGGTTTTGTACTGGAGGGCTAAAATTGGGGTCAACATGAGTAAATAAATATCTTCCACTGGAGGGCTACCCTTCATTATAACAGTGTTTGAGGTTCAGTCACAAGTTGTTGCCCTTGAAATGAACTTTTCAGGTACATTAACTTTTTTCTTCTGTTGTTTTCATATAATTTAAAAATATTATTGGTTTTTGCTTTCTTTTCAAATGAAATTAATCGGTAAATAGAGATGAAAGTAATTTGTAATGAAAAATTTGAATTAGGAAAATTGACAATGTATTTTTTTATTACAAAAGGGTCCCAAAGGTGATGCAGAGTACAAAGCTGCCTTTCAACAAATTGTGATGCCTATTGCTTATGAGGTAAGTTTTATTATACATATTCTTATGGGGTAAGCCTATTGCCTATAGCTATGAGGTAGGCTTTATTTAAAGCAGTTTGAATTCTGTATCAGTAGATTCACAGCATAGCGAAATCGACATGGATTTGTGGACAACTCGTACACATTTTACACCTTTGTGGACATATTAGTACTGGTCATTTGTCTGATGAAGATGACAGAGAACAAACTGTACTAGTCATCGAAATGTTACATAGAAACACTTTTTGGTTGTGTTACAAGAATCTTTTCGTAATACATGTGGTCTTCATTTATTAAGAAATTGAAAAGTTGACAAAGTTCTTTTTCACACTTTCATGTTATATTTTTTTCAATTCTTTCTCCAAACATATCCATGACCCAGATAATGGTAAGGATAATATAACAAACAAAAATAACAATGGTGGTGAACAATATCCTGAATTCTAGGAAAGGTTACCTCCCTTCCCACATTGATATTTCCACATGACACCAGTAAAACACATATCTCACATCAGGACTCTAGGTTTTGTTCATATCTACCATCCATAAAATTTATTTAACAATTTAAATAGAGACAGGAAGGTCAGCCATAGATGAAAGTTATTTATCTAAGAGTCTTATAGCTAGGGTCCAGCAGATTATTTTGATATCCTGCCCGATTCAAATAATAATCAAGATCCCATTTCTTCTCATTTGTGTCAGACTAGACAGGTTTCATAGTAGAATGGTTCAGTACACCCAGGTAACCATTACAGTTAGGTTGCTACTTGAAACAAATGGTAATCTAAAGATTGATTTTATGTGAAGTTTTATTGTAATAATTTTGAACTGGTTAGAATCATTGAACAAAATGTCATCTAAAATAACCGATAATTGTTAGACTTGTTTAGTGTTATAACCTTTGACCCTACAGTTTTCTACAGTTAAGATTTGTTTAGTGTAAAGTGTTATAACCTTTGACCCTACTGTTAAGACTTGTTTAGTGTACAGTGTTATAACCTTTGACCCTACAGTTTGCCCCGGAGCTCGTTTTGGTGTCGGCTGGGTTTGATGCTGCTCTAGGTGACCCGTTGGTAAGACTTTAATTATTACTATGTTCCTGGAGTTGTTTTTATGTGTTGAATGAATTTCTTATTTGGTCTCGGAAATGCGTTGCTGTTACGGCAGTTTTCCGCTATTTTAGCCAACTAAATTCAACTTAGAAGGTACCTTTTAGGTAATACATTTACCTACTATACTGTAGCCCTATGATGTTTTGGCTAAAAAGAAAACCTTTCCTCTTGAAAAACATTTTCTTGCTCCATTTATATGTTAACCCTTAATCCAATATAAGATGTCTTTTCAAAAATTAAAAAAATATGATTTTTTTCACGTATCTAAGATACGATGTACATTCTTTTACATAAATTACATAAGCCTACTGAATTTTGGGTGTCAGCGTATTTGCTGGAGCATATAAAAACTTAGATGTGTCGATGTAAAATTGTCGTTGTGTTCATACCAGAGAAAGTTGAATTGGATTTGCATGTTCTCTGAAAAGAGGAAATTCACAGGAAAAGCTGACACCTGAGTGGAAAATTGATTTCTTAAAAGTCACAAAAGAAATACAAAAGAAAAATTCAAATTGGCCAACTTATCTGAATTTCATATATATATATTTATATATGTGACTTTGGCCTGAATGATAAGTCAGTATCAGAGCCTGTAACTTCGATAATGCTTACCTAGTTATATACATCTGTGATCATGTGTAAACCTGTAGCCTGTAATTAAGACCTGTGATATCACGTTAACCTGTTATCTGTAATTAAGACCTGTGATATTACGTTAACCTGTTATCTGTAATTAAGACCTGTGATATCACGTTAACCTGTTATCTGTAATTAAGACCTGTGATATCACGTTAACCTGTAATGTGTAATGTGTAATTAAGACCTGTGATCATATGTACATGTAATCTGTAATTAACACATATGATCATGTATACCTGTAATATGTAATTAACACCTGTGATCTGATGTAACTGTAATATGATATTAACACATATGATCATGTATACCTGTTATATGTAATTATAAAAATACCTGTTTTGAATGTAATGATCTTCTGTAATCATGTTTACTTGTAATAAGTATTTAACACCTTTGCACATGTAAGTCACAAAGGTGTTACTTACTATTTACAACCCTGTAACTCAACACCTGTTTTTTAGGGGGGATACCACATCACACCTGCTGGGTATGGTCACATGACCCACATGCTTTCCTCACTGGCCAATGGGAGAGTGGTACTTGCCTTGGAGGTAAGATGTACATATTTAAAAAAGTATTTTCTCTAAATTTCTGCTGCATCCATATAACTAAACTTAATGGTTATTCAGAATATGGTAATTCTGAATTCAGATTCACTCTGAAAAAAACACCTGTAAGTGGAAGTTTATTTTAAAATCTATACTCATCCTGATTAAAATACATAGACATTGCAATTTGCTCAGCGGATTTGTTCAACATTGGTTTTATGTTTAATGCTCTGTACTAAAGAAAATGCAGACCTACATTACCATAGGTTTGTTTTGCTGGTGAAGAGATACTGTTACATATACAGACATTGCCAGCTGCTACTGATGTTAATTCTGACAGCTTATAACCGATGTCATTAACATTGTCCCTGACTTCTCTGTCTCCCTGGTACTTCGGTCCTGACTAATGACGACCATTTATGGGACATCCTCACATTTCATTGACACACATTTGGATCGTCCAACTGTCTGGCCATGCCTTTGTATGGCTCCTGTCTTTGGTATCCCATTCCTTGAAGTACACTGACTCTTTTCCACCATATAGGGTATTCTGAACACTTCACCGCGGGGGGAGGGGGGGCTGTGGATTCTACATCTGCTATCCTTACTTTCTTTACATTTTTAGCAAATTATCTCAACTCACAATATTCGTATCATTTAGTTTGGCCCCTGAAAGTTCCTAGTTCTTTTCCTCCTTTATCAGTAGAGCACTGCTCTATCAATTAAACCCAATTATATATAGTTCTCCTTTCAGCCCAACAGTTTCTCTAATGTACCTGCAGGTTTTTGACTCTATATATACATAATTTGCATTTGACAGGGTGGCTACAATTTGTCGTCGATATCTAACAGTATGGCGACCTGTACCTCTGTCCTGCTCGGTGACCCGTGTCCATATCTACCTTACGTTCAACCTCAGGAAAGGTACGCTTTTACTTTATTTTATATGCAAATTTAGTGAAATTCTTCGAAACTGGATGTTCGCATTTCCAGTGTTCATGTTTTTCTTTGAATAAAACTAATCAAACAGATAGAAGAAAAGAAGAGAAAAGATCGAAGTGACATAGAACTCATGAAGATGGTATGATGGTGGGCACCAAAATGCAAGATCCCTCTGGGATCTCGTGTGTGATACATCAATGTTTTTGTTTGATTTATCTTGTCTCAATGCTTTTTCCTGATTTAACTGATTTCAGTGCTTTTGTATGATTTTGGTTATTTTTGTCTGATTTCCAATGTTTCAGTGCTGTAAAGGGTATCAACAATACTTTGGACTCTCACAAACAGTTCTGGAAGTGTCTCAAATTTAGAGGTAAGGTATACCATTAAATGGTGATATCACACGTATTACTTCATCGCTTGATCTGTTCAACTTATTTACACTTTATGAAAATCAACAAAATATGACCAGCACATTACATGCTATCTGAAACAATGAATAAATATTCTCTTGTATAGGTGTACCTGTATAAACTAAAATACAACTGAGGCAGTTCTTTATGTTTATCTAGAATCAATCCCAGATCTCAGGTGCAAAGAAGGAGAGGGGTATGTACAAGTGTTTCCTTGTATTAATCATATGCTTGTAAATTCTCTACATTAACTTAATGTTGGCAGGAAAATCAAAGATAGAAATGTTACCAAATATGAAAATGAAATCAAATGTTTTTACTGTGGCCTTTGGTCTGCGGCTTGAAGTGTTTCTGCGAAACCTGATGAAATGCCAGTAGTGAAATTTACGGGAGGGGGTTTAACATGAATCCATTAAATGGTTAAAAACTGTCTGATGATGGGCTGGATATCTTACAGAAGTCACATTCAAAAGCTGAGGAATGTTGTCATTACTGCTAGCTATTGTAAAAGAGGTAATCTATTGTATTGGCATGCTGTAACGTTATAGCAGCTGATTTCAAATGTGCCACTAGTAGAAATGATGGATTTTTTTCATGACTCAAAGGAATTATATTTGATTGAGATTTTGTTTCACATTTGTATCTATTTTGTATGATTTGACTGTCTAGGTAACTGTCCGAGTGTCGATGTATTGCCTTGATTCTTCAACCATTTAATAGCTTGCCTGACATACATATAGTCACACATACATTGTAGTTTTGTTATATGATGGAGTGATCTGTCAAATTGGCATAAATTGTGATATATTTTTAATGTCACAACTTTCTATTATCATTCCACAATGAAGGTTTTTTGTGGATAAGGTGACGACAGGGGTTAATCTGACTAGACACGAATACATAGCAGTAAAATGTTTATGATTATGGCAAGATGACTGTTATTTTGTTACCAATGAGGCATCATTCAAGACAATGACAGCTTGGTATTCTGATCGGCTGTGAGGTCTAGATGGTTTACAGCATTTGAACCATTTTGTACTGATAGGTGCAGGTTTGACTCCTGATATATATCATGGCCACTCATACCTGATAGTTTATTTTGGAGCAGCTCTTGGTAAAATATCATTGATTTTCCACATTATATAAGTGTGATATGTTTGGATGTGTCATATAAACAATGAGCAGCTGGAAAGAGATCCTTAGGAAACAGCCAGTGTTCTAAACAAACGCCGAAATAGGCATCAGCTACCTGCAATGTGACATATATAACTAATATTTGTTCTTCCAAATTCTTCAAATAAGTTATAGTTACTGGTATTTTTATCCTCCGCTCAACGAGTTGGTGGCGGATATAGAAACGGGGTCAGTCCGTCCGTCCATGCACCTGGTTAAGAAGAATTGCTCTTCCCTATATATTGCCTACTTAGTAACAAGTGCTATGTTGATTATACTTGCATCAATTGTGTATCTAGGGTTGTTCTACTGAATGCATATTGCGGATGCTGATTTTGACCTGTATTTTACGCTTCATTGACTTAAATTAATTAAGAAGAATTGCTCTCATCTAAATCCTGCCTACTACAAGTGTTATGTTGATTATACTTGCATCAATTGTGTATCTAGGGTTGCTCTACTGAATGCATATTGAGAATGCTGATGTTGACCTATATTTTAAGCTTCATGTTTTTAATGACTTTTGCACTGTTAGCGTGGGGATATCGATGACAGCGTCTTCTTGTCCTTTGTTTGATTAAGGTGATTGTTTGGGAGCTGATTAAGGTGATTATTTGGGAGCTGATTAAGGTGATTATTTGGGCACCGATTCAGGTGATTATTTGGGAGCTGATTAAGGTGATTATTTGGGAGCTGATTAAGGTGATTATTTGGGAGCTGATTAAGGTGATTATTTGGGAGCTGATTAAGGTGATTATTTGGGAGCTGATGTTTTTTAAGAAAAATCACATAGATTGAAATTATGTCCGGGATGCTTAATTGATACTGCTAAAATATCTCTATGAATTAATTTGATTAAATGTTAAAAATATACAAGCAGCACCTGGTGCATCTAATAGATAATAGATCTTCTGTTAGTTATGTGTCCGGTGGGAAAAATCGTTTGATCTTACCTTGATGGAAGAAGTGATATAACAACTGTCGCTTTCGGCAAATTGTAATATCAACACTCACAATGTTGTCTGGACTATTAAACACCTGATCCAATTTAAAATGACAGGAAAGATTTCCTACTTACATTCCTCAGCAGAGACAACCATATAAATTTGAAGTAATATCTCATTTGAATTGTGTATTTTTTGTTGAAGACATTTTTCATTTCAGAATATTTCATTGTATAGGTCTATAAGTGGAAATGTACAGCCTTATATAAAAATATAGAAGTATTAATATGAAATTATATTAGATGTTAATGAATCACCAATTGTTATACGTATACGGAAGAGCATGAGGGTCATGCAGAAAAAATAAATCCTTTTTTTTGTGTAACTATCTGGAAATTTTGACTAACTAATGAAATTTCTAGATAATAACTCAAAATTTTGACTTACCAACTCAAACACTCGAGATGATAGCTTGAAACTTCAACTTAACAAATTGACAATTAACATTGAAGACTTTCAAACATTGAAACTTCTACTTAGTGTAATGGAGCCCTTTAACGCCAGACAATATAGCTTGTTCAGTGAAATTTGGTACTAAATGAGTATCTTATGTTTCCTACTCTTTTTGCAGCAAGTTTAACAGAAATGTTCCAAAGTCTAATTTTGTTTAGAACATTGATGTTTCAATAACATTTCAAGCCATAATACAGTTTCACTAGACACTTTAAAGAAATGTCTAAAAGGGACTGTCACAGAACAAAGAGTGATCTACTAACCTAGATCTAAAGACACGTCTTAAAGGGACTGTCACAGAACAAAGAGTGATCTACTAACCTAGATCTGAAGACATTCATTCATATCTTTATTCCTCCAAACATGAAGAGTTATATGAAATACATATTTTAAATACACAATAGATATAAGAAAAGTAATACAGTTACAAAATAATGTATATTGACTGAAAAAATAAGCTGATTGAATGATGCAAACTTACATTTAACGATTGCATAGCCTTCAACCAGTATAATACAAAAAGGTTATTTACAGGAACACATGTATTATTGGAAGGTAAGAGCAGAGGCTTTCTCTGCAAAATTGCAACAGTATCGTACAAAAGACAAGAAAAGATCGTCGTCTTCTCCAAAAATATCTCGAAAAAGATCAGGAGGAGAGCCAAGAAACGTTGCTATTTGAATATCCCGACTCGCCTGGTCCAGAGCAACGTAAGCATGAACAGGGTAGTCGTTGACAATTTTGGAGAAGATGTTATCGCATAAAGCTAACACTTCTTCGCCAGAGCAGTCCAAGATACAATGTGCAACTGCATCGGCTACAAGCACATTGCATTGTGCACATGCTAATTCACACTCTGGAGAAATAATCCAGAGCTTTGCAACATTAGCGCATGTTCTACAAAAGTAGGGAAAACGTTTAGATAAATTAAAGACCAAATGGTCGAAGGACAGATATCATATTGCAGATACCTAAATCTAGAAAAGTCTCTGCTCGAGGTGTATTGAGGTAAGGCCTAACATACTGAGAGCAATATCTGATCGTGTGCGACGGGGAAAACTTTAAATGAGCTTTGCACATAAGTGATGTACAGTTTCAATACGAGACAAATCAGTTTCTGTTAGAGAAAACCAAAGTTCACAGCCAAAGAGGCTTCTAGGCAAAACAATAGACTTATATAACTTTGCACCTGTCATTTGATTGATCCCAGTACCAAAAAGGTTACAATGGAGTAGGGCAAAACATTGACTACGTAGCTTGTTAACAATCTCATTGATGTCTGGACAGCCAGGTTTGAATTTGTTTAAGAAGTTGCCGACGTGTTTTGTCCCAACAGCCTCTGAGACAACTTCATTGCTGAGAGACCAGCTCCGAATCGTCTTTGAGAAAGCATTTTTACCTTCATTAAAGACAATCACAACAGACTTAGACACATTGTATATGAATCTCCATTGACAGCTGTAAGTGTAGCAGATATCCATGAGACTATCACAGAACAAAGAGTGACCTACTAACCTAGATTTGAAGACACATATTGAAGGGACTTTAACAGAACAAAGAGTGACCTACTAACCTAGATTTGAAGACATGTCGTGAAGGGACTTTCACAGAACAAAGAGTGACCTACTAACCTAGATCTAAAGACACGTCTTAAAGGGACTATCACAGAACAAAGAGTGACCTACTAACCTAGATCTGAAGACACATCTTAAAGGGATTTTCACAGAACAAAGATTGACCTACTAACCTAGATTTGAAGACATGTCTTGAAGGGACTATCACAGAACAAAGCATGACCTACTAACCTAGATTTAAAGACACGACTTGAAGGGACTATCACGGAACAAAGAGTGACCTACTAACCTAGATTTAAAGACATGACTTGTAGGGACTTTCACAGAACAAAGAGTGACCTACTAACTTAGATTTAAAGACATGTCTGGAAGGCACTGTCACAAAACAATGTGACACTCCTTATCTGTGTAAAGTTACTCTTGAGCTAAAGTACAAATAAAACTTTGTCTTTATTTAATGGTATTTTGAGTACATTGTGCATTGTTACATGTTTGGGATGTCAGTGTTTAGTTTGTACATTTTTTGTCAATAACATACAGGGGCGCATTAGAACCTATACCTTAAACTTTCCTAATATTAACGGAGTACTTTTATATACCTTGTGACTGATTGGACTTCTTGGGGAACTTTGAATAGAGAAAAAAGGAAATAAAACAAAGGAAAAGACAAAGACTGCATCATGCATGTGTAAAAAGGTGGGGAAAGCTTCCAGTATTAGTGGTCACTGGATTAATGAGGCTAAATTGTATGTAAAAAAACACCTGAAAGGAAGATCATGGAAAATGTAGGATGTCACTCAGGGAATACAGATTTTATCTAAGGAAAATTACATTTAAATTGAAATCATAGATAAATTTGATCAACAATCTTTATTTGCCCAAGTGTCAAAGAAAAGCCATAAAATCTGGACTGTATTAATAGGTCTTGTGACTATTTTAGAATCTTCTTGATGCTCTGTGTTGATGCTCTGCAATTTGAAAGTGAAATGAAC